CTTTCTTCATGCATCTCAAAGGCTATGTAATATTAAGAAGAAATTCTTGTTGTGCATCATTTAGCCCTTATCAACCCATAGCTGGTCCTCCAGTTGGTTTTCAAAGGCAGCAAATTTGTTTGGGAGTAGACTGTCAGATCAGCTGGTGGATTGGAATCATATGACTTTGGGATTGCAGAACAGCTTCTGATCACTAGCCCACAAAAGCTTCCTATGAGTTGCTAAAAACCCTCTCCCTCTTGAGAGGCAGTGAAAAAAAGAGTAGCATAGTTCTATTTCTATGAGCATGGAACTGTAACAGGGATCTTTCCCCATACCAATACTGAACACAGAATGCATAGCTAATGAATAAACCAGTTGAAAATACTTAAAATTAGGTCAATATAATTAAATTATAAGGACCTCTGATGGCCTAATGGTAAAAAGCTGTGCTGCAATCTCAAAGGCATGCAGTTCAAATCCACCAGCAGCTCTGTGGGAAAAGGAAGGGCAATCTCCTCTCATATGATTTGTTGTTATTGTTAGGTGCCACTGAGTCAGGTATGACCCATCGTGACCCCTATAAACAAGCAGATCTGAACTCTAGCCTATCCTGTGCCATTCTCACAATCTCTGATACACTCAAGCCGACTGATGCCATCACAGTGTCAATCCACCTGGTTAAGGGTCTTCCTCTCCTTCACAGTCCAAGCATAATGTCTCTCTCCAAGTATAGCCTCTTTTAACAACAAGCCCAAAGTATGTGAGATGAAGCTTTATCATCTTTGCCTCTAAACAGCACTCTGGCTGCACCTTTTCCAAGACATATCTGTTTGTTCTTTTGGCAGTCCACGGCAGTCTCTAACACCACAGTTCAAAGGCATCATTTCTTCTTCTGTCATTCTGTTATTCACTGTCCAGCTCTCACATGCATACCAAGAGACTGAAAAGACCATGACCTGAATTAGGAACACTTTAGTCTTCAAACTGACATCACTGCTACAATAATTCGGAACATTCATTGACTACAGACTTTCCCAGTATCACTATGGTATCTAAAAACCTCCTGGAGGGTGAACTATGAATCAGCTTCAACTTGACCGGCAGACAAATACAGTGTTAAAAGGACAATAGTAAGTCTCAAAATGTGAGGTATTTATCCAGAGTTCACTACTAGGTGTAGATTACATATAAGAAGAAGTAGAGAAGAA